TCCCCCAGACTTATTTGTAACAGTTGTTATATAGCTTTCCTAACTAATGGAAGTTCAAATTGCTTGTGGGCTTGATGTACCTTACTAAATTATCAGGTGCTATCTCCACAAAGTGCCAATTTAGAGGATTAATGATGAAAGCTTTATCTTCAGTTACAAGTGTGAATGCAACCAGGAGATTGTCTTAAAGTGCTCCACGGGATTTACTGTGAATCAATGTGACATTGTGTGTTTTATTAGAAAAAGTAGCAAGTGATAACTGTCAACAGAGTTTGGTGCAAACATTGATTCATTAGAAAACTTTTCTTCAAAATAAATGACTAAAAACAATGATAAAATCTCAGATTTAGTAAAAAGCTACAACATATACAGTTTTCAGTGCTTCTTCTTGCCACCAAATACCTTTTTACCAAATCCGTTACTTGCAGGACCTAAAAGTCAGTCTATAGGTAAAATCGTTAATCATTACTGACAAACCCCAGCTCTCAGAAGAGGTTGGGCCAGACAAGGAACAAGTAATTGTGAAACCATTACAGGACTCAATTCATCTGCAGAAAGATACCATCTGCTGGAGAGTCACCTCTCGCTCAATTTCAAGTAGCGTCCAACATTTAACAAGAACATATAAAAACATAAGAATTTGCATGTCAAAAGAAGACCAAGGTCCATCTGGTTCGCCTTCTACCATTCTAGCAGTGGCTTGACATGTCATGTCCCAAACTATATACTGTATCCCGAGATATTATTTTCTAGCAGAAATCTATCTAACTTGTTCTTGAAACAAACAACATTTCTGGTGAGAATTTATATTTTTCCTCTCTTCAGTATTCCACATGTCCATCAGTTTTTTTCTCTCCCTTTGAAATGGAAGGGTTTGGAGTTCAATAAATAATCATTATCAATCTATTAATGAAGGTTAACAAAATGCAATTTGTTTCATTCTGAGGCATCCCTTGACAATCAGCTAAGGCAGAACATCACTTCAGATGCACTAATTCTGCAAGAAATGCCTGTGATGCTTATCACTCAAATCTTGAGTTCCATATTCAAGCGGTTGGGGGAAGAGGAGGAAGAAGGTAGAGAGGAAATTAAACTACATTTGGCAATGAGTCATAGCTCATAGCTGAGCCACTGAATACAGGCTAAAGCACCCGTAGGAAATCTATTTAGTATGGAAACCTATTCAGCTCTTTAAAGGATTTAGCAATATACCTACCGCCACTTCTGATGTTTTGACTTGCCAACAGCTGTACTGATGTTATGCACGTGGTGTGATCAGATATCAAAATCATTTAAAAAACAGTTTTTGGATGTGCAGGTCTATTAGACCTTTAAACTGAGTGTGCTGACTCCCGATGTTCAGATAACACTTCTTGCTTCCTCCCATTTTCAGCATGATCATCCATACAGTAACTTTTTTTATTAATGAATAAAAAGACAAGCAACAAAATTCAACCTCCAAGTTGCAATAAAAAATAATAGTGGTTACTGGAACTGGTTTCAGAATTATCTCTATAAGTGTTGTTAGCACCATTAATGATAATAGATACAATTATAGAGCCCCAAAGTCAGAATATAAGTCATAGGATTTATTTTGCTGGATAAAATACCATTGGCTCTGAAAATAATCTCTCGAGTCTAATGGTGATTTGATAGTTAATGGTAGAAAAATAAGAGTGATATCAGGAGCTTTTTGAATATCACCAGGCTGACAGAAATTAAGTATGCAGATTGCAGTTTGTCACTTGTGCTTTCACTTGTAAAATTGAGAGATTCCTTGTGACATTGATAACAACAAGGCTCTCCAGTGATCAAAAGTGCTGCAAGACTGAAAATGTTTCTGTTCCAATGGAGTGCTCAGAGCTGGGCATCACACAAAAGATAAAATAATTCATATTCAAATGAATTCAGGAGTTTCAGCCACCAAAGCAACCTGTGATTGCTTAATTCTATAGAATTTGCTCAAAATTGCTGTGCACTGTGATACTCCAATGTGATTAAATGTATTATAAAGAGGAAAACAAGTTGACTCACACCTGAAATTAGGTACTGGAGAAACAATAACAACTTGCATCAGAAATGATGGCTATACCTAGTCATGCAACAATTAAACTGCTCAGAATCTATACTGTATATTAAGACATGTTTCCAAGTGACAGATAATGCTGCCACTTTAATCACAAGGATTTTAACAGCTTTATGAGAACATACGTTGCACTCTAATATATACAAAATGAAACATTAAAAAACGACATCACTTTTTGCAGATCATAAGTCATTTTAATGTTATTACGTAATTTTTGATATCAACATATGTTCATTAGTTTATTCATTGCAATAAATTACTAGCAACAATTAATAAGGAAAAACAGCAAATATGAAGACAAAAATTTCTGATCTTTGAAATAAATTAACATATATTCCAATAACAATGTTTTGTTTTCCAAATGTACTAAGAAACTTTTCCATGGTGGCAACACAGTTCATTAGAGCACCAGCACAGAGCACCAAAGAGTGGTCAGATGTTGGGTTTTGCCACAGGCTACCAATGCCCAATCTCAACTATGCTGGTGGGTGGAGGAACTAAAGGAAGATTGCTGGGTTGCTCTTGTGCATCTCTCAAGCTCAAAGGTGACACCGATAACAGCTTGGGAGCAGATCATAACCTACTTTATCAAAACAAAATCCACTAAACTTAAAAAGTGTCTAGCCATAAGAAAATGTTAATTGTAATCGTGACATTAACAACATAGCATGAAAGTTTTTTTTATCTATAGAACACATGTGCTTGTGCACACATTTCAGGCATATAAGACTTCAGTTCTCAATGAAAAGAACAGGCCCAATAGAAACAGTTTTATACTCAGCTCCATGACTTTTCATTCTGATGGTATATGAGGCACATTACGTTCCCCAATGCTTTAACCTTATTGAATTTTTTTTTTTTAATTCCGTGATTCAGAAGTTTGTTTCCTTGTGGTTTGAAAGAGACAAATTACACAGATTTAAATCCAGACTAAATGGATCTGAACTCTCTTTAATAGTCCTATACAAAATGGTATGATCTAACCAAGTTTGTGTAACACCCCCTCTGGCCCCGTAATAACTAATCCAGTTAAACATAGCTTCCCATTAAATTGACTGCCTTACTTAAATGGAAGGACAACCGTAGTATATTCAGACTTTGTTCAGCAGTAGGGCTCTCATCGTAGAGTGAGGATGTCATATTAAGGGGTGTTGTTCTGCGTGCCAAGAAGTAAACCACACTTTGATGATTTGCACTTGTAGTGGAAAAATCCAATTATCCTCATGCAACTCAAAAAGTGTTAAATGTATTGGCACACAAAGTATCAATCATCAAGATGGATAAGAGTTTAGGAAGCTTTATTCATGTGCAGTATGAACTATGAGAAAGTGCCAATATGCAGAAAATGTGAATAATTCTCCAAGCACTGGCCATTCTCATCTTCAGTACAACATATTACAATAACCTCTTTTGCTCTAGTACCGACACCATTTAACTCCAGGAAAGTACTACAAATAATAATCTTTGCATTTTACATAGTACCTTAGCACTTGTTAAAACTTCTCAAATAACTTCACAAGATTTACTGTGAGGTGTAGTGACAGTACTTTGTACATATTATTTGACTGCCTTATTATTCTTTCAAGAGGTCTGTAGAGCAGCCAAGCTAAATGTTAAATCTATCCACCTCCCTACTCCTGCTATGGACCTCTATTGGATATCTATTTGGTTAGTGCAGTACCGGAGGTCTTCCCATGCTCATACCTAGTGTCCTTAAGCCTACATAACATTTGGTTTCAGTCGCATTTTACTTAGTTATTCCAAGTTATTCAGTATATTAAGCTTGTTAATGTTTTATAATAATAATAATAATCCTTGTATTTGATATAGCGCTTTTCACGTCGGGAGGACGTCCCAAAGCGCTTCACAGAACACACTGTAAAGTGAATTGACTGTATATTTGTGGGCGAACAAAGAAGGTACATTATTATGTCCTATTATGTCCTATTTTCAGCATGATCATTTATACAACACCATATTTACACTGGGCAACTTTGTCCTTATTTCTCTAGTCTCACAGTCCTGACATGTGTGCAGATACAATTGTGTCACTTGCATTAATGCAAAGTTTGAAAATCATATAAAATAATGTTTTAGTTATGAACAAGTCAGCACTGAGCAAAGTGAAACTGAAAGGAGACACATTGATCATATTTGGCAAAATTAGAACACAGGAAAATATTTGATTGGACAGTAAAAGAGTCGTGGCAGGGAGAGCATAGGTCACAGTGAACCCAACTCAAGACAGCCGATATAAATGTCATCCCATGTCCCAGTTCACGTCATCAACACTGAGCTGTGAAACCCCAACTCGGAAGGTTAGCCCAAGCTTGGACTCGAGAGAAGGCACACGGACTGAGCTGTCAATATTGCAGGAATGTTAGGGACAACTTCATGATGGGCAAGGGTGACCCATTTGAAACCAAAGATTTCAAAGGTGACACGGATCAAAACAGGAGAAGGCTTTTAAACCAAAGTGAGTGATAGTCACTCCACATCAGCATCACCCAGCAGGTATGCAAATGAGAACAGTATAAAATTAAAGACTTGTGATGTTTGTTCAACATTTTTAGAGAGTTAGACCTGCTACAGTGAACGCAATTCTTTCTTTGTGCTTCCGTTAGTAATAAAAGTTAGTCATCCACATACCCTCTGACCCATCACTGCCTCTTTTCTTGCACCTTCATTGCTTTTTTGGCAGGCAGCCATGAAAGCAGAATTAAAAAGATTAATCAAAATGCCTCCTTTCAGCTGTCAGAACTATCTGCACCACACTCAATTAAGCAATGGTGCCAAGTGTTCATAACTAGAGCACTGCCACAATCATTTCTTGTAAAGCTGTCTGCAAACAGTACAGAATTACATGATCAAAAAGTCCATCAGGGTATCAGGCAATGTCACAACAAAAGTCAGCAACAGCTACGGGTTTATTTGTAAATATGAAGACCTCTTATCGATTTTAAAATTCATCAAGTAGAATAAAAATGGAAGTTCTCAAGGCACGACAAACACAAGTACTTAACATCTTACCCTCGTGTTAGAGACAGAGACTAAATTACAGTACAATTCAATACAGCATTGAAGCAAACTGTGTGCAATTGTGGAAGGCAAGACATTAAGAAATGTCTAGGTGTAGGCACGATATACTTATTAAAAAGAATGGGGATTTCTTTTCTACAACAGAAGAACCACTTAAATAATTTGGTTAGCATTTTCTTTGTTATCTAGGACTGTGATTTTCAAGTCAAAAGTACACCAACACAAAATGTAAAAAGGTCTATAAATCTGTAAAAATGAAAAGGTTAAAAATCTACTTAAGGCCTGCGCTTGTTTTAAAATTGCATTTGGATATGTAGATCAGCCAATGCTTTTGCTTAAGGAACACAGAGGTTCACAGAGGAGATATTAGACTCAGTTCTCTCACCTAGTCTCAGTTATATCATTACTCTGTGGCCCCTGGTTGAAAGCGCACTGATCCTCAGTAGATAAACCTGAGGTGATATTGTGTTGATTAGGTAATGTAACCTCTGTGGAAACAAAATAGTCATCATTCATCTTCTCAGGCTCTTCCTGTATAACAATTGCATCGTCTGCAGCCAAATGTGAAACTTTGCTATGTTGAGAAAGTGTCTTTGTCTTAATCTTTACATACGAGCTACCAGGCTTATCCTTAATTTGTTCATTTTTCTGGAATCTTCCAAAGAAACATATGAAGAACCCAAACAAGATAAATGCCAAGATGCTTGGGACAAAAGCGAGACACTTGACCCCCAAGTTGGCACCTACAAACCTGCTATACAAAAATAGATCACCGTGGGTGTAGGTCTTGTTAGTCAAAGGGCTAATATTAGTGGACCTCCATTCCCAGCTGAGAGTAGTTTTATTTAAATCCTTTAAGCAGTCGGCATCTTGCACTGTATAGATTTTCTCACCAGGCCCCACATACTGGCCGTATTCATACGGTTGGTAAAATATCTGATTTTTCCACATATTCAGATCCAAAATCAATACCAGAAAGATGATTCCATAGTTAAACCATTTACCTGCAAGAAAATGCGATAACACTGTCAAAATCATAATAGACTTAAGTTTGCCAGATTAATTCCCACGAAGGTACACTCTATGCAAAGTGGTGGTGGGGAGGGAGGGAGGGAGGGAGAGAGGGTAAAGGGAACAACAACAACAAAATTACATTTATAGAGCGGTTTCCACGTCAGGAGGATGTCCCAAAGCGCTGAACAGTCAGATGTCGGGGCCCGAGCATGGGGTAGGGGTAGTGTAGGGGTGAGGGAAGGCAGAGAGGTGGGAGAGCGACTGAAGGCATGATCGAAGAGGAGGGTCTTGAAGGAGGCAAGGGAGGAAATGAGGTGAAGCGTCCGTGGGATGGAGTTCCAGAGTGTGGGGGCAGAGAGGCTGAAAGCCCGGCCACCGATGGTAGGGCAGGGCGGGCGGGAGACGTGGAGCAGGCCGGTGCTCGCTGAACGGAGGGAGTGGTGGGGGAGGGAGGGGGGTTTGATAGGCACTGCACTGCAATTTTTACAATGCAAAGCACTCGTATACATCAGCCGATGGGTAAAGCAGACATGCATTTTTTTTACAAAGCAAACATTCACATTTTATGAACCACTACGCTGTATGAACCTTTACATTTGCTTTACACATTTGCAACTTTCCCAGTTATTAAGGAATTTAATTTTCTCTGTGAAGAATTACATGCATGTGCAGATGCCTTTAAATACTGCAATATATCATGTAATCTAATCATTTCCATCAATTTGTACTTTTTGTTGATTACACACCAAAAGGATATAAAAGTAGCCAGTCGGCACAGAAGATAACCATTCGAGAACTATTCTGTTACTGAATATATGAAATTCAAGTTCAATTAATCAAGCATATTTTTAAATATAAGTATACAGAGTCAGATCATTGTGGGACAAATATTGATTGAACAACAATGTCAACAGTTTAATTGTTGGAATAGCCTAGGTGCAAGAAAAAAATTTTTGGACAGCCAAGAGTCTGACACATACAGAAGTCCATCACCATGCTAAAGAGTACTCAAACCAAACAGAGTTGCATGCCTCCCACCTAGACATGGAAATTCCAGAAATGTTTATTGGAATGGATTGCACACTTTGTCCCTGGAGGGACGCATCTTATATACCTAATTCTGGAAAGTGTTAGGCGCAGGTCGGCAAGTCAATGTTCGGAGATCCCAGAGTGTGCACTGGGGTACTTCTGGAGTCTAACCAGCTAAATCCACATAGTTTGCCATTGAAAGGACTGCCTGGCAAGCTTTTCCACTGCTTATTCAGCTAGGACCACCCTACCCATTAGGCTTGCAGGGTTAACGGGAGCTGACTGGGAAGAGTCCCTGCCTCCAGTGACTAGTCTGCCCTTACAAGTAGGCTTGCTGATGAGTCAGCCTGGCTATGCTCAGGAACTGGACCACCGAGACCACCACAGAGAGTTCGCTCAGTTCTGACATTTTGTTGCCAAAACATGTTACTTTGGAGAAAATTTAGCTCCATGGAGACCCTCCTTACCACCCCCCCTCACCTCAATCAACAATATGATTGTTCAGCAATATGAAAAATAACAATCAATCACCTATGTACTGGCACTTCCTAAAGTGCAAGAAAAAAAATTACTAGAATATTTCTAGAAATTGTTTTCAGGCTCATCTAGTTGAGTATTTCTTTCTTCCTTCTGGCAATGTCTAAATACTTTGCTGGATAAATGGCAAGCCCATATTAATACAGCAAAAGCAGCAAAAGGGCTTTCACATTCCAATTCTTTAACATATTGAAAAATTTAAATGTTCATAGTTTGCTTGTCATTTACCTGTGATGTGGATATGATACTCATCCTTGAATATTCTCTTGAAGTGAGGGAGTCGTAATCGAATGTGTGAGATGGGCAGACCAGGAAGGTTGATTTCCAAATTTCCCATGAATTGTGGAAATTCCCAATCCTAACAAAGGAAAACAATTGAAAAAACATTGAATTGCTTAATTCGACCTGGAGACATTGAGTTATTTTGACATAACGTAACTATAATGCATTCACATCAAGAAACCCAGGCTTTTCCTTTGTTATTGCATTTCCAATAACTATTTCTATTCTATTTTCTTGTGCAGCTGTTATTTTCCAAGGACTAATCTTTATACATTGCCAAGATTTTAAAAACCAAAATGGTACAAAGGTGCCATTAAACCCCAGCTTACTTTCTCCCATTCCTATTACACTAGTGGGATATTACAATCATTCTTATATTGAATGTATAATCTGTATAATTTCCTGAAGTAATTCAAACCAAAATTACATTTGCTAGAATTTATTTTATTTCACATAGCGATTTCATTCGACATATTCCACATTTCGCATAGCCTTTGTAAAAAACAATCTTTGCTGTATCCAAACAGCATTCATTCTGATCAGATGAATTTGCATTTAAATATAAAAAGTAAATGAATAAATCTGTATTGTTACAATGCCTTATTATGTCAAATATTTCAAAACACTGCACAAGTAATTATTGTCAAGTGAAGTGACTATTTTTGGAGGCAAACACAACTGCCATATGGGCCAGCAAAATCCCAGACTACAATGAGGAAAATTACCAATTTATCTATAGGATTGTAGGCAGAGAAATAGTGTCATGGGCTTGTTATATCCATCTAACAAGCAGTCAGGATCTCGATTTGACAAGATCACAAGATTGGTCTGGATGAAAGAGGCCTTTCAGCCCATCTGATCGCAACCGCACAGTACTGCATGACACTGCTTTTTTAAATGAGTCTAGTGCTGTGGCCTGTATCAACTTTCTTGGCAACTTGTTCCAGGCTTAAATGCCTTCAGAGCAAAGAGTATAATATGGGTCCTGCCGAAAAGCCAGGCTGGCTATGCCGTCATCAGTACTGTGGAGTCACCCGGTTCAGGTACCGGACTACTGAAACCACCACAAATTTGACAGCCTCAATCATCTTCACACCACAATCATTCAATCCTGACTTAACCCAAAAGACAGGTTCTAGATCCACAGAAACTACAACAACAACAAAATTACATTTATAGAGCGCCTTTCACGTCGGGAGGATGTCTCAAAGCGCTGAACAGTCAGGTGTTAGGGCCCAGTCACGCGGGAGGGTTAGTGTAGGGGTGAGGGAAGGCAGAGAGGTGGGAGGAAGACCAAAGGCATGGTTGAAGAGAAGGTTCTTGAGCCCGGCCTTGAAGGAGGCAAGGGAGGAAGTGAGGCGAAGGAACCGTGGGATGGAGTTCCAGAGTGTGGGGGCAGAGAGGCTGAAAGCCCGGCCACCGATGGTAGGGCGGGTCGGGTGGGAGACATGGAACAGGCCAGAGCCCGATGAACGGAGGGAACGGGCAGGTTGGTAGGGAGTCAGCAGGTCAGAGAGGTAGGAAGGGGCAAGGCCATGGATGGCCTTAAAGGTGAGGACGAGGATCTTGAACTCGATCCTCTGGGGGATGAGGAGCCAGTGGAGTCGGGCGAGGGTGGGAGTGATGGGGTCATGGAGCCTGGTGTGTGGGAGTACACGAGCTGCAGAGTTTTGGATGATCTGCAGCTTGTGAAGGGAAGAGTTGGGAAGGCCGATGAGGAGGGAGTTCCCGTAATCGAGCTTTGAGGTGACGAATGCATGAGTGAGGGTTTCGGCAGCCTGAGGGGTGAGACAGTGGCAGAGTCTGGCAATGTTGCGGAGGTGGTGGTAGGCAGTGCCGGTCATGGCGCGGATGTGGGGGAGAAAGGACAGTTCAGGGTCAAACAAGATAACTAATGTACACATTGGCATCTCACTCTGCACCTCACTCTGCACCTATCCCGAAAACCTCCAAGGATTGCTAAGAAGCAAATATTTATTCAGTTCTTTATTGAGAGAGTTAATTGATGAGGCATAAACTGCATTTGAGGTCCTCTTCCCCCATGTTTCTCTCGTCAGCTCCTCTAACTGTACATAAAGAGATGCCATCAGCCTGCCTGCACTCACTCCCCTTCTAGTGCAGTTTAACTGTGCAATATATAACATGTTAAGAAACCTTTATGTTTCAATCAAGAAAAAAATGTTACTGTGGCTATCACAAATCAAAAGAAAGGCTTGCAGCTGCATCATTTTATAAGTTATTGATGGGAGTTCTCTGCTTCTTGACAGTGTCATCTCTCACTTTCCTTCAAATAGTAAGGGATATCTGTAGCAGCGAAGGAAGTTGTAAGATAATAATCTGGAGTATCAGAAATTTTCTAAAACTCAGTAAAACATTTATTATTACTCAGCATTTATGCCCTCAGCCAATAATAATTGTAATAATTCTCATCACCGCCAAAACTGCTCAACAAACCAAAACAAAGGCGGTTAGATGCTGACATGGCTGCTGCAGATTTTTATACCACACAACCAGCCAGAGGCTGAATATTTTCAGTGTTGCAGATTCAGAATGCAGGTCTCAGTATTATTCCTAATTGGTCAAGGACACAATCACGTCTTGGAGGACAACATTTCAAATTGCTTGTATCTTAATTTCTGAACTTTTAACATTCAAAATAATATTTGTGCTATAATTCCCTTTTCAGACTGCTAGCCAGTTAAGATCATTAATGAGACTAAAAGATATTGATGGGAGTGTGTTACAACATTAAAACAACTGAAACGTTTTAATGTTGTCGTAAACCACAAGAATTATAACGAACATCACAAGTTATTTCGCTTGGATAAGGTCTTTGTGCCTGTGTAAAAATTTGCTGTTGATCTTTATATCTTCTGCCATCATTATAATTGCTGTCTCCAGTTTTGCCTTACATAAACAGAAGCAGAGGGGGATGAAGAAGGGTCATAAAGAGGGAAAAGGTATGGCCTCATCCTGTGTCTAAAATTGTTTTTTATTTACTGATGGTATGCAAATTAGGCAGCCACAACATTTATATTTAAGAAAATATGCTGCAGGAATCATAGATTGCATGTAAAACACAGATATAGAGTAAGCAAATAGCTGCTAATGCACATTGTACAGAAATATCTAGATCATGTTTTGTGATATCAAGATAAATGGAACGTAGGTTTCATGACAAATACTGTGGTCATTCTGTGACACTGTTTTGACACAAATGGGAACATCAGAGTCATTTCATCATATTCCTCTCCCACCGAGAAAGTAACAAATCCTCAATGATTAATAGTCAGAGAGGAAACGAGGACTGTCTGCAATACATACTTGCAATACAGGGCAACTGTTGTAATAGTCCCCGTTTTACAGCACTGGTTTCCTGTGGAACTGCACTGATTGGAAGTGTGATACGCCCAACTTGTGCACACAAGTTATCAGGTGACCTGATAATCTGGAAGTCGGCCATTTTTAGTGCAGGAAGCCAACCACTTAGCACTAAAAGCCAAGTGTATCACACGTGTAGGAAGTAATTTCCTGTACATAGTGCACCTGTACAAGAATGCAATGCACAGAACATGACATCAGCAGCAACCCTGTAACCCAGAAGTCTTGAATGAAGTTCAACTGTTATTATCAATGCATGTACTTTGTTACCAGTTTCTGATAATCCTAAATCGATAAAAGGCTGAGAAAAGGCCAGCAAGAAAAGTAGTGACACAACTAATGTGGTTTGCAAACACTGTATTTTAGATCTCATAAATCACAGAATTGATGGGTAAGATGATGGTACTGTACTGCTGAACTAAATGGTACATTTCTATCACTGCATATTCTAGTTTTCATTTTTCTTTGCTTAAAAAATAGCAAAATGGTTTTTTTTATAGGTAAGTTGTATTTACTCATCAAACAGTACAGTCTGATTTATTTGAGGTGACACATATAGAATTCACTATTTATCTCAGGGTGAGGTTTTATGATGTTCCTCTTATTGCTTTACTTTACTTGACAGCTGGTGTATTGTAGGGTGTAATACAACAATGATTAAAGTTGGATAGATATTGTGGAGTTTAGAAGTATTCAACTGTCGTTGAAAAGTTAGTTAAGAACGATGAGCGAGCATGAATCTACAATGTACATAGGATTTGATTTATTTCACTGGTGTATACAACACATTTATTAGAACACATCTGAGGCTGCAGGAACATTGGGCTCAGCCTTTCATTGTAGCTTATTAAATTCTGGTATTAAACTCAGGGTCTTACAATTTTGTTGTCAACAGCTTTACTCTTGCATGTTACCCCAGTTGGCAAAATCAACACAAAGGAGTTGTGTGAGGTTTTATGGTGCGAAAGAAAGGAGTTCCCAGACCATCATTAAACCTTTCCTGTAAACAATAGGGTTTTCTTCTTTGTTTTATACAGAGCACAGAAATGCATCTTGTATGTATTATAATAATGGGCTACATTTAGCTGCCCTGACTGTCTTTCAAAATGAATACATCAAATTAAAAAGAGCTTGTATTACAGGTATTCATGCATTATTATAATAATTATAAGAACTTATTCAAATAAAATGTCACATCAGTCAGGGTTGCTAGCTACACATGTTGGTTTTCTGAACATTAACAGATAAAGCCATCATCTAGCTCAAGAAAATTGTTCTTCCCTTTGATTAAAATATTGAATGGAGGGAAAATGCTGTGCTTATACTGAACTGTTTTTATGTCTCATGTTGTTGGCTGACCGTGGAATGATCAGTACCAGCGAAGGTGAAATACCCAGTCAGTACTCGGGTTTATTGGGTTGAGGGGATCTCAAGATAGCCCAAAGGTCCCCACCCACTAAGCTTACAGAACTCTAAAATGCAAGCATGTTCCTCTACACATCAAATGTCATAGTAGGGAGCAGGTCCCAAGAATTTTAGTGAAATGAGAATTCATTGCAAAATTCATTGCAAAATTCCTGCCAAACCAGAGCTGTTAGGAAATACTTTGGAACATCCTCCCGACGTGAAAGGTGCTAAACAAATGTTATTTTGTATTGTATATGTTGGGTTGTTTATGGAAGAAGAGTCTATATG